GCGCGCATTGCCACCGCTCCTGGCACCCACACCAACCTCAACGACGGGCAACCCCTCCTAATTCTGCTCCTCGTTGTACTCCTCTCGGATCTCCTTCTCAATCTCCTCCCCGTCCTGTTTCGCCGGCGTATCCTTCTTTCTTTTATCTCCTTCCTGGAGCTTGGCCCACAAGGCGCGCACTAATCAACCGAGATTAATCGAGCGACGTCGTCGTCGTCGTCGTCGTCGTCGTCGTCGTCGTCGTCGTCGTCATCATCGTCATAGTCGTTGCCGTCGTTATCATTTTCATAATCGTCTATCGTCTATCGTCGTCGTTCTCGTTCTCGTTACCGTCCCCGTTCCCGACCTTCTCCTCCTCCTCCTCGTCCTCGTCCTCGTTGTATTCGTTCGCTGCCCCCACTGCTCGTGCAGCGCCACTCGTCACCAGCTACTCACCGTCCGAGTTCCCAAGACGCTCTGGCCTCTGGCCCTGGCCACTGTCGAGGACTGCCCGCTTATGACGGCCCCGAGAAGGACACCAGGTGGCGCCCCGACGACTCTTATCGGGGCGCCAACTGCAATCGCGAGGCTTATCATCGCGCACCGGCCGGTAACGTCGCGACGCCGTCAGATCGATCATCTCGCAACGGTTTCGTATTTCGAGATCTGCTCTTTGAATATTTTCCCAAGCTGCTTTCATTGTTTTGTCTACGTTTTAGAGAAAGTATTTCTACGGATTGTTTGTTTCCAAATTGTGAAATACACTGTCAAATGAGAGATAGACTTGAGGACGATGTGAGCGTGACTTTGTCACCGAGCTGTGTAGGAGGATGTACCTCTTTCTCACTCCCTCCTTTGAATTGAAAATCCATTTGGACTCGCAATGGTAATATACATTGCGGAATAGTACAATCCGCAATCTATAATTATAATTTTTTTTTTTTTTTTTTTTTTTTTTTTTTTTTTATAGTAGAACAGTTAGCGCTAAATATGTCAAAGATATTATTTGGAATGGACATTTTCGACCAATTCACGGTCAATTTGCCTATAATTATGTCGTGCATTGCTCCTTACCCTTTATTGTGCATATTATAAGTTCTATACTACTTAAAAATATCATACTTTTAATGATATTTAAGTTTATCGCTTACTAGCAATTAATATGTTGACAAAAAATTGATGCGCGGGTTATCAAACAAATTGAAATGTTTCGAATTTTATAATTATAAAGTTGCTGAAAAATAATCACGTGAATTGGCCAAATACCTTTCTAATATGCCTATTATTGATGAATTTTCATATAATTATTAACACGATATTGTGACGATAACAAATGGTCTTTTAAAAGTCTACATAATGTTTAATATATGAAAAAATTACAAAAACTTATACGATATGTCTGTATAAGAATGTTACGTCATTAACGAATGTAATTAAAATTTCCTAATCTACTGTATTTAATAAAGATCAATTTATTTCATAAAGCAAAATTATCGTTACGCTTATTTAATTTTTTGTTTTTGTTTTTTTGTTTTTTGTTTTTTTTTTTTGGAAAAAAGTTGTATTGAAAATGGTTAATAAACCCAAGGTACGAAATGTAAAAAAAAACAAATGTTAATAATCCGTTATATAAAATATTCTACTTACCAAATAATGAATTCATTATATAATTATTTATATATTTATATATTTATATATAATTATTATATATTCATTACATAATAATGAATAATACGCGTCACTTTTATTATTTTATTAGCAAATTGTTTCATCCATATGACTTTTTTTTATCTCAAACTCTACAATAAGCATTAATATTTTTTTTTTATTTTCTTTTTTTTTTTCTTTTACATATTACTGGACATAAAGACTTTTATAATTTCCTACCGTCAAGACGTGCGAATGCTGTATTCGATTGATGTCGTTAACAAATTATAAATCATAGCGTATGCCGTTAATAAAGGCGAGAAGTTGTCGGTGGGATAATAATGTAAAGCCACCAAATTATTTAAATAATGTCTGTACTTAAAATTTGAATAGGAAATATAGAAATCGTGCCCTTCGCAATTTCATATCGATTATCAAGCATTTTTTTAGGTTATGCAGTGAAGAATTTGAGTTACGGTAAAGTAAAATCTATCGAATGTGTAACGTAATTTATTGCATTTTTCACGAAAAAATAACGCGTTTTCATAATTATCAACACCATTATTGTGCTAAAAATATCTACGTCATTGTATCCGCAAAATATATTTAATAATTTTTATCATTATTCAATAGGGTGAAAAATAATATAATCCAAAATGCTGAAAATATTATCGCTGCAAGACTTTTCTTTCCCATCATCTGACAATTTAATAACAGCAAGTTTTATGTATGATGAACCTGTATACTGCACGAAAGAAGAATTACAGCAAGAAATCCAATCCTTTGCAACATATTTACATGATTTCCCTGTCATTAATATTACACCAGAAATGTTGGCTACAAGAGAAACAGCTCGCACAATTGGAGCTAGAGATTTGTTCTTGCCTGTGCAAGACAGTTCGTTTAAAAAGATAGCAAATATTTGGCGAGAAAAAGGTTTACTAGAAGCCATTAGAGCTGCTGCTGCCGAAAGTCCAATTGAAATTACATATCAGGTCCATTGGCTTGCTACTAGGTAATAAAAATAAGAATCTTAGAGCAACTTTATAATCCTATATAAAATTCGCAATAACATTCAATTATACGAATAAGAATAATATATAATCTATAGGATGACACAAATATTGGATGTAATAGAGCGGGGAACATTCTGGAGTAAAGTTTTACCTATTTCTGGATTTGGCTCGGTCGCTGATGTTATTTCCACTAGAGATTGGACGACTGCATTAGTAAAAACAATCGCATTAATTTAAGATTAAACATAGTCGGCGATCTTTTATTAATTTCCAAATGAATTTTATATTAGATTCGTTGTATGGCTTGGCACCCTCATTGTATACGTTTGGCCATTGCTACAAGAGATGATCGTATTAGAATATTTTCTATTGGCAATATAGGTACGGCTGTTCTGAGACATAGTGCTCAAAAATCTGTGTGCTGCTTGAGTTGGAGACCAAACGCTGGCAGAGAATTAGCGGCAGCATGTCAAAATGGGGTCTTAATCTGGACAGTTGAACTAGGTGCTGCGAGCAATTCCCTTAGTTATGCATATACACTAAAGTACAGAAATCATGCACCAGTCACAAGCGTTTCATGGAATCCACAAGTAATTCTGTGCAAGTCTTAATATTATTAATTGGTTTAACTTTTAACTTTTAAGATAAAATAAAAAATGTATTGTACGAACCTTCTGAGAGTATTTTAATGAATAAGCATAAGAAATCAAAACTTAAATAAATTACATAAAGTCCAATAATGAGTATAAAAGATGTAGTCCAATTTTGGAAATATAATTATTAATGATAGAATATTTTTTAATAATTTATATTAAAAATGTAATGCCAATTAGTTCTATAAAAATTTTTAATATAATATACGTGATTCAATTTGTTAAAATTCTATTTATAAAAAAACTTAATATTGTTAAACTTAATTTAATCTTTCAATTATTGATAATTTTTATTTCTATAGGGAGACTTGTTAGTGTCTTGTTCCCTAACAGATATGAACATGATAATTTGGGATGTTGCAAAAGAAAGTGGTATTCCATTAAGACGTCTCGGTGGAGGAGGATTATGTTTTACTCATTGGTCACCTTGTGGATCAAGATTGTTAGCTACAACCTGTAGAAAAATATTCAGGTGTATAATCAGGTTTTTTTTAGTAAAGTATACCAATGTGTAATGTATATATATATATATATATACATATTTAAAAATTTTAAAATAATTTAATCATCCTTTAATCACACAGAGTATGGGACATAGGAGCAGGAACATCTTGGAAATCCGAAAGATGGACTGTTCCTAATGGTCGGGTGGCTGCTGCGTGTTTTGGACCAAATTTGACTCTGCTTTTTACGTCAACCGAAGATCCATCTATGGTATATTCTTTGCCACTGCAGGAACAAATTTTTGATGTAAAAAAAGTTGGAACGCTTGATGATAATAAAGTTGCTATACCATTAATTGATTTAAGTAAGGTGACATTTCCAATTAATGACGAGGATGAATATTCAGTTGGAGGTAGAGTTACATCCATGGATTGGGATCCTCTTGGAAAATACTTGGCAATTATTTTTCAGGTATTAAATATTTTCGTTAAAAAATGATCTTTTTAAATATTCAATATTTTGTGCACATTTCAGGATAGCTCATTAGTTGCTATTTTTAAAACTAAGATCGGAGCCACATCAAGAATAACTAAAGTTGAGCCACTATGTTTTGTGAAAGGTTTTCCTGGTGAAGTGCCTAATTGCATTCAATTTTATCAAAATTGTCAAGAAGGGACAGATTCCACTATATTAACAATTGCTTGGAGTAATGGTTTTATTCAACATTTTCCAATCGTAGATGGTGCCTATAAAGAATCCAATTTAAATCATTCAAAAAATGTTGGTATCATGTCAAATACTTTTTCGATTACAGAAGACTTACAAACTTCTCTTTATAGTAGTTTCAGTTATATTCAATAGCAATGAAGATACAAAATAACTTTAAATCCACAGAACATTAAAGTAAATTGTTATTGTTACTTTAGCTATTAAATAACATTTTAATATTACTAGTAAATATTTTATGATAGAAAACAGAAACGTAATAACGAAAGCATGATGCAACATTTGATGTATTTACAAATTGATCAATTTCTATTAAGTTCTAATTGGCTTTATAAAAATAACATGGAGTTATAGATAAAATTTAGAATAATATATTTACACTATTATATCGACGTATTTTTTTTTTATCTTTGTAATGTTAACATTTCATAGTTCTAACAGTTATTTAAAGACTGATATTTTTATACATTTTTATAACATCATAAAAGTGACATCAATTGTCAAACAATAAATAATCATTAAGAATTTGCAAAAAATATTGACTGTTGGTATTTTGTATTATTATTTATTAACTTAAGATAATTTCTTAAACAATGTACGATTGTTTAAGGATTTATAATTGAATTCCATTTTTAACTGGATACATCTGCTTCAATAACATTAAATTTAAAGTTATTATAGCTATTAAATTAGTTAATCCATTAAATTTTTTCATATTTTTTTGATATTTATATTAAATACGATTTTATTACAAAACATTTTTAAATTAAAAGCCTTCCAATTCGAATGCAAAATGCATTAACAACGATAATTACAATTATCTACGCTTCTGAAAATAATATGTTTAAACATTAATAGTAGTATGTAAAATCTTAAAATCTCGTGTTTGTAATTAAAAATATTATATAAGGTCATAAATTGATTAAATAATTGATAATTTTCTTTTCAATAAAAAACAAAATCAATATCCGAGAAATATATTTCGAATTAAATCTGTGAGATATAGAAATTGAGTATCGGATTTTTTATTTAGATGTTTTTTTCCATACGTTTACATTTAATTTGAAGAGACCAAAAATAAAACATTTTAAAATATGTGCTACTGTGTATATACATGGATATACTTTAGTGTGTGCATATATATATATATATATATATATATACAGATGCGTAATTATACGTGTGCATAGGTGTGTGTTGATGTGTTTATAAAGACACACATTCGCGCGCACTCACACATTTATGTATACATGCGACGTTTTTACGTTCGGATATCTGTAGATATGGTAATATTTAAGTGATAATGTATATTTAATGAAATACAGATAATGTCGGTTCAAAATAACATTCATTATGTGATAAATCTAAATCCATCAAGTAACGTGACCTACAGATTACTCGAATGCAAAAAGAAAAAACTATTTTCAGTAATATATAACTTTGATTTGAAATGACTCGATTGTCAATGGTGATAAAGTGAAATTTATTTTAAAATTTCATACTTTTTTACATTTAATTTTCTATTCAAAAGTAATAACTAATAAGCTTGATAAATTAATAAATAATTTGAAAAATCATTGTATTTGAAATTATTTTTACAAGGGAAAAATTTTAACTGATTACAATTGTGAAAATAAAGTTCTAACGACTTGTGATAATGTCAAAGATATGAAATCGTAATTTTTGCATATATGACAAGGTGCTTAATTATGTGAAAGACTTAAAACATTGACTAAAGAAATCTATATATATTTTCTTTAATAAAACAAAGTAGAATATAATTTAATATATATATATATATATTTATTTATTTATTTATTTATTTTTAACTAATTGAGTAATTGAATTAAATGATAAAATATAAGCCTAATTTTTTTCATACAAAAATGTTATTTTGAAAAACATATGTTACAGTGAGAAAATAAACATTATTTCATAAATTTTTGACAAATATCTACATTTCAAACATTTATTTAGTAATATTTTGGTATCTTTCATTTCGTAAACACAAAAGAAGAATAATAAAAAAAATAATAATATTAGACATTAGGAGAATATTTGTCGTGCTATGTTTTCCATCTCTGTTAAATCAATTTTTATAAAGTAATTGTATAAATCAGAATGAAGAGTATACTAACCAAATACTAAATTTATCTCAATATTCAAATAATTTGTATTAATAATATGTACCGAATAACTCAACAATTACAAAGGCTTGCGTTATCTGAAATATTGAATTACTAATATTTATATTAAATGAAATAAAAATGTTTATTCGCTTTGTGAAATATTAAATAACATTGTAATTCTAAACTTTTAGAAATATTAATTTTTTAAATAATTTTAATTGAGCAATATATTTGTTTGATAAAATCATAAAATTTCAAGCTTAATTTTTCCATTAAGAAGTTTGAAATACTTTAAGTAAAAGTATTTATTTTGAAACTTTAAAAATAAATATTCGACGTTAATGATGAAAATAATTGTACGTGATTGGAAACGTGCTAATTAATGATAAACTTTTACATAATGAAATTATATTTATCACTAGTTGCTTTTATCTAAATCAAATTTTAGATTTCTTTATATCTTGTTGTTAAACCTTATTGTTAAAAGTTAATTCAATTTGCCGATTCTAATTTTTATCAAGAACTGTAGTCCTAATAATACAAAGGAAAAAAAAGAGAGAAAAAAATTAAGGCAAACAACGTTTCGTTTGCAAATATTAAATTTTCAACGTACTCTAAAATAATTTAATATTAATAGTATGTTGAGAGATTTATAGATTTAATGTTTGTTGTTACACTCAAATCTTTGGTTCGACGCTCATTGCATTTTTATCAATTTAAGTGTAATTGTATATCGTTTATTTTTCCTAAAATAATAATGTAAAGTATATGATCTAATTGGAGTATAATTAAACATTAAAGCGGCACTGAGTTACGTAATTTATTTGTATGCACATAAGATGATCATGAATGGAAGATTTTTATTACTATCTTTTTAAACATGTAATAATGATTTTTAGAAATAGACGTATGAAAAATGGGTATTTTTAACGAATTAATCGTGCAAAAAATCTTTGACTCAAAACTATTATTATAATTGTGTTTTTGTCTTTAATTATAATCATGCAACTAATGGAATTAAAAATTGAACTCAATAATAAGCAAATTATTTTTAATTATTAATTGGATGTATAATTATTTAACTAACGTTATACGTTTATTACTACGTATGGTGTAAATTTTCTAATTCCCTCCGTTAACGATTATAATTAACGATTATTGTATGCATTAACAATAATTATGAAAAGAAATTGTCAAATTACTGTTTAACATTTTTTCAATATATTAATCAATATGTATAGGTGGCTTTTGACCTTGTGGCTTATAAAATTTGAAGAAACGTTTGATTGATATCAGTTATCACGAGAGTCCAAAATTTCGAATTACTATTGGCCTTTTACATTCAATTTTCAATGTTACGCCTTGAAAGATCGAGCTACTCGTAATTTTAAGTATAATATATTTTCAAATCCTATGAATTTTATATCCTTTCTATAATGTCCTATTATCTACACTATAAAACATGTTGAATCGTTATTTTATTATTGGTCGCTCGGATATTGTCGTGCCCATACTTGCACAAATAACAAATCCAACAATCCAAAGCAAAACTTATAGATAAATGAAATTACCTATGTTCGATGATATGGTCTAATGTCGGTTAACTACAATTTTCTCGGTCGAATTAATCGAATTAATCGAGAATGACACATTAATGCGTAGACCAAACGGAGAAAACCCAAGCCGTCTATGTTAATTAATTAACTATCACAGCGTTCGCCCGTCTCGTGAACAACGCGAATATCAAGCATTTGATTGATACGCCAAGTAACCACCACCAAACGCCTTCAAAGCGAATAAAGTTATTTTCCACGCGAAGAGAGTAAGCCGAAGCTTTTCCAACTTTTCTGGGAAGAGCGCGGGCTTTGCAACGCAGCCTATTGGCTCGGGGTCGTTGAAGTATAGAAAATAAGCGAGGCATCCTTCGAGTTATTCAGTGCCTAATTATATAAAATCACACGCTGAGCGAACTTCTATTTTTGTGCTCGCTTGACCGAGCGCACGAGACGCTGACAAGTTCCTTGCGAGCCCTACCCCATTTTCAAAAGCTTGCCTTCGCCCTCCCCTCCCCTCCCCCACCCATTACCGCCCCTCCCCTCGCACACACTTGTCCCTCACCGGCCCCTTACAAATTTCTGTATCGCTTTTTATGTCGGAATCCAGAAGCGAGCTGACGGCTCGTGTTTTACGAGGGGGTGAGAGCCGATGCTCGCACCCGTTTAGCCAGACATAAACTTCGTATGTTTGAGTATCGTAGCGCAATTTGCAAAATTTTATCGGCGCTCGCACCGAGCACCAAATGACGAAACGCATTATCTATTGTTTACGATAATGAGAGGCAATGGAACGCGCGTATTAGAGACCGTCCCATTATATCGAAGTCGTTGATTATCGAGTCGGGCTTAGGGTAAAATCAGGCCGACATCGCGGAGCACTCGGCCCATCCAAAGACTCGCCCATCGAGCGACCCGACACAAGTCTTTTCGCTTCACGCTTTCCCTCGCCAATGGAGAGGCCGCCAGTGACCGCCGCCGAGCCCAAGATTGCTTTTACTACGTTGCATTACGTAAACGCGCTGCACTAATAAGCGCGAGTTCTATCTCCTCCTCATCCCCCCCCACCCCCCTCATCCCCCACTCCCACTCAATCCCACCCCATC